GGACCCCGGCAGAAGAGTCGTCGGCAGAACCCCCAACGGGACAGGACACAGGGTTGGCAGGACCCCTGGCAGGAGAGTAGTCGGCGGGGCCTCCAACGGGACAGGACACAGGGTTGGCAGGACCCCCGGCAGGAGAGTAGTCGGCGGGACCTCCAACGGCACAGGCCGTAGGGTTGGCAGGACCCCCGGCAGAAGAATAGTTGGCGGGACCCCCAATGGGACAGGACATGGAGCTGGCAGGAACCCCAGCGGAACCTCCAACTGCACAGGACATAGGGTTGGCAGGACCCCCGGCAGAAGAGTCGTCGGCGGGACCCCCAACGGGACAGGATACAGGGTTGGCAGGACCCCCGGCAGGAGAGTAGTCGGCGGGGCCTCCAACGGCACAGCACATAGGGTTGGCAGGACCCCCAGCGGAACCTCCAATGGCACAGGACATAGGGTAGGGACTTGAGACGTGACTCGAGAGGGGACTTGAGAGGAGACTCGAGAGGGGAACCAAGGGGGAACTAGAGAGGGGACTCGAGAGGGGAACCAAGGGGGAACTAGAGAGGGGAACCGAAGAGGGACTAGAGGAGGGACTAGAGGAGGAGCTAGAGGAGGGACTCGAGAGGGGACTGGAGAGGGAACTGGAGAGGGGACTAGAGAATTGACTAGAGGAGGGACTTGAGAAGGGAATTGAGTAGGGACTAGAGATGGGACTAGAGAAGGGACTAGAGAAGGGACTCGGGAAGGGACCAGAGGAGGGACTAGAGAGGTGACTAGAGGAGGGACTTGAGAAGGGACTCGGGAAGGGACCAGAGGAGGGACTAGAGAGGTGACTAGAGGAGGGACTTGAGAAGGGACTAGAGATGGAACTCGAGAAGGGACTAGAGATGGAACTCGAGAGGTGACTCGAGAGGGAACTCGAGAGGACACTCGAGAGGAGACTTGAGAGGAACTCGAGAGGTAACTTGAGAGGAACTCGAGAGGTGACTTGAAAGGAGGCTTGAGAGGGGACTCGAGAGGTGACTTGAGAGTGGACTCGAGACGTTACTTTAGAGTGGACTCGAGAGGGGACTCGAGAGGTGACTTGAGAGGTGACTTGAAAGGCGGCTTGAGAGGGAACTCGAGAGGAGACTTGAGAGGGAACTCGACGGGTGACTTGAGAGGAGACTCGAGAGATGACTTGAAAGGAGACGCGAGAGGTGACTTGAAAGGAGACGCGAGAGCTGACTTGAAAGGAGACTCGAGAGGTGACTTGAGAGGGGACTAGAGAGGGGACTAGAGAGGGGACTCGAGAGGGAGCTGGAGATGACGGTCGGTTCGCCAACAGAACACGGGGGCTGGAGTCGGCCTGAATGCCGTCAGGACACGGGGAGCTGGCGTCGGCCGGAGACGAGGGGCTGGAGTCGAAACCATGGCTGCTGGGGCCAGGACTGAGGCTGGAACCATGGCTGCTGGGGCCAGGACTGAGGCTAGAACCATGGCTGCTGGGGCTGGAACCATGGCTGCTGGGGACAGAACTGGGGCCGGAACCATGGCTGCTGGGGCCAGAACTGGGGCCGAAACCATGGCTGCTGGGGCCAGAACTGGGGCCGGAACCATGGCTGCTGGGGCCAGAACTGGGGCCGGAACCATGGCTGCTGGGGCCAGAACTGGGGCCGAAACCATGGCTGCTGGGGCCAGAACTGGGGCCGGTATCATGGCTGCTGGGGCCAGAACGGGGGCTGAAACCATGGCTGCTGGGGCCTGTACTGGGGCTGGAACCATGGCTGCTGGGGCCAGAACCATGGCTGCTGGGGCCTGTACTGGAGCCGGAACCATGGCTGCTGGGGCCAGAACTGGAGAGGGGACTAGAGAATTGACTAGAGGAGGGACTTGAGAAGGGAATTGAGTAGGGACTAGAGATTGGACTAGAGAAGGGACTAGAGAAGGGACTTGGGAAGGGACTAGAGGAGGGACTCGGGAAGGGACCAGAGGAGGGACTAGAGAGGTGACTAGAGGAGGGACTAGAGATGGAACTCGAGAGGTGACTAGAGGAGGGACTAGAGATGGAACTCGAGAGGTGACTCGAGAGGGGACTCGAGAGGACACTCGAGAGGAGACTTGAGAGGAACTCGAGAGGAGACTTGAGAGGAACTCGAGAGGTAACTTGAGAGGAACTCGAGAGGTGACTTGAAAGGAGGCTTGAGAGGGGACTTGAGAGTGGACTCGAGACGTATACTTGAGAGTGGACTCGAGAGAGAACTCGAGAGGTGACTTGAAAGGAGGCTTGAGAGGGAACTCGAGAGGAGACTTGAGAGGGAACTCGAGGGATGACTTGAGAGGGAACTTGAGGGGTGACTTGAGAGGAGACTCGAGAGGTGACTTGAAAGGAGACTCTAGAGGTGACTTGAAAGGAGACTCGAGAGGTGACTTGAGAGGGGACTCGAGAGGGAGCTGGAGATGACGGTTGGTTCGCCAACAGAACACGGGGGGCTGGAGTCGGCCTGAATGCCGACAGGGCACGGGGAGCTGGCGTCGGCCGGTACGCCGTCAGGACACGGGGAGCTGGCGTCCATGGGGCCAGGACTGAGGCTGGAACCATGGCTGCTGGGGCCAGAACTGGGGCCGGAACCATGGCTGCTGGGGCCAGAACTGGGGCTGGAACCATGGCTGGGGCCGGAACCATGGCTGCTGGGGCCAGAACTGGGGCTGAAACCATGGCTGCTGGGGCCTATACTGGGGCTGGAACCATGGCTGCTGGGGCCTGTATTGGAGCCGGAACCATGGCTGCTGGGGCCAGAACTGGGGCTGGAACCATGGCTGCTGGGGCCGAAGCAAGGGTTGACTCCAGACGGAATACACCAATGCGTGTGGTGTCATAATGGGAATTGGGAGGCAGGGAGCCAGCATGGCTGGGGCTAGCAGGCAGGGGATAACACACCGAGAAGAAATCCAAAATCCAGCCAGGTAAGAATTTCACTAAGCCTGGCTTCTCCGTAGCCATCTGGCGTGCCTCTGCCAGAGCTGCCTCTCGCTGCTGAACCCCGGATGCTCCCCTCCATCGATCAGAGCAGTTAGCCAAAAAAAAGGAAAAATCCAATAATTCCTGCTCAAAAGGATCTGCTGGGCCCATATTTGGTTAGTTCCTTCTGTCAGGGATGAGCGAAGCAGGCAGGACCCAAAGCAGATTTCTCAGAAAAAGCACCTTTATTTCAAGGCTATAAAGAAACAAACAGAACTCTTCCTTGTGAACACTGTCAAACAACAACAAGGAACTAACAAAGACTAACAGAAAACACAGAACCTAAATGCACACATGACTAATCAAACAAACAAGAGACAGGTGAGGAGGAAGGAGAAAACACAGGAGCACCAGGTGAACACAATCGGGTAATCAGGGAGGGAAAACAGACAGAAACCAACAGGCAAAACAGGAGGTGAACACTTTTACAAAATAAAACAGGAAACCAAAGACAGAAAAAGACAAGACAAAACACAACACAGGCAGATCGTAACAAAAAGTCCTGCATTGCAAATGTTATTTAAGAAAACGTATAGGTCAGCATCAAAATATACGTAGGTACCAAAAGTAAAAGTATGCCTTATGCAAATTGGACCATTTCAGAAATATATATATTTGATGTTTGATTATAATATATAAACTTTACACCACTGCAAAACAGGACACATACAAAAACAATTGTTATAGGGAAAAAATAAATATATTAGTAATATAATAATAACTCTATACTATAATACATTTGATATTCTTAACATCACACAATGAAGAATGCTTTTTAAAACATGGCCCATTCATAACAAATGTAAGGTGTTCCTTAAGGTCCTTACACACCAGGCCGATTTTCGGCGCCGATAGATGTCGATAGATGTATGGCCGTCGATGAGTGTCCTGTCGCCCTACTCAGATTGGTGTGTCCATCCCTGTCGTGTTTTTTTCGGCCGTGCCGATACCTTCCGCCACTCGCTGTCGGGAAAAGGCCGTCGGCTAAAGAAATCACTCTGATTGGCTGTTCAGCTAGCGAATCAGTGCATGAGAAGTGAAACGGAAGTGAGGGACCCATACAAACTATTAAGAAGGCAAATCTGATATTTCATTTAACTCCAGCTCTTGACATAGGTTCGGGAAAGCCCTATGAGCTTCTCGCTGTAGAGTGAAAATGGAACGCACACGCTATTTGTTGTTTGTTTATATCATGCAGTCTGTTCTTCTTCTCTCGGTTATCACGCAGTCTGCCTTCGTTGCCTCTTTCGAATGACGAATACACACTACCGCCGCCTGCTGGTAAGGAGAGTTTTTGCCACTCACGCATGCGCAGTTCGTACGTGGTACTTGGCCGTCGGCTGAAATCTTTGCGGTGTGTTCCAGTGCGACTGTTGGCCAAGACGCAGGAGACGTGAGGCGACACAGCAGTCGGGAAAAAAGAAGATTATATAAACATTTTGAAACTAAATCAAAGTGAAGTGGTTTATGCAGAAAAATAATGTACACATTTGTTTTATGTTGGAACACCAAATCACTGCACCGTTAGGTCTTATTAAAAACATGCAAAACAGAAGTAAACAATACAATTAATGCAATAAAACTGAGTTATAAATGTTAAATGTGGGGCATTAATAGCGGCTAAATATTGTGATTTGCAGCAAGCTGCAACATCTGGTTCTGATTGTATAGAAGTCTATGAGAAAATGAGAACTCTAGTAGACTCTAGTAGGAGTTAGACAAGGAGTTATTTTTAAAATTTTAAATATAAATGAAATTATAGTTTTCAATTAAGTTTACCCTCTAATTGCAGTTTGTTAAATATGGGTACTTTTAGGCTACATTTTCTAGGACCCACAATTCTCAAAATGGAATGGATCATTGAAAATGGATCATGAAATTATTATAGATATTTCAAATGTTTTCGTTTTTCATTATCACATGAATGTGTAGCAGAAATGAAAGAGTATTTTAAACCAGTATGATATTAAATGTGAATGTGTGTCAAGGTTCATCTCCGATCAAGTAGTACATGGTGAAGAACAGAGTGTCTGCCTGCACACAGAGCCAGATGATCCTGGCATCAGAGTTTGGGTGTCACGCTGATCCGTGGTGTGACAGACTGCTGGAGGCGGGGTCACCTTCCTTCCAGCTATTCCTGTCTAGTTCACTTCTGTGAGCTGTCTGTTTGTCTGCTGCTTTAGTTCAAAACGCCTACCAGTATGATGATGTCCTCACAAGCAGGGTGAAATTGAGACCCTCATCTTCCCCTTCATCGTTTTATCCTGTCAAACCATTATCTTCTTTTGAACAAAGAGCTCATTAACCTTGTTGTTGCCAAGAAGAGAGCTCAGCTCCCTCAACCTGTCTGGCCCCTGGCAAACACAGTGTTCCTGACACTTTTTAAATCTAATTTGGATGAGGTGTGTGGTTGTTAGTGTGTTTACGCTCTGACTCTATCAAAAGAATCAAAGCTCAACCCTTTGCTTTTAAAACAAGTCATTAGTTGACCTTTGGTTTCCTCTGACTGTGTCTTAATCCTATTGTAAGATTTGTTGTACTTACAGAAACAACAGCTTGACTGATAGGACTCCTCCAAGTTTTTGGAGGTTTGTCATGTGGTCAGCTTGGGGGAAAACTGGGTGGGTTGTCACATTCGTTCTTGCTATTATGTCTTTAATAGTCAATATTATTTTGGTTCATTTGCATAGAAGTTATCTTATAAATGTTTACATTTGGTATATCTAAATGTCCCGTTGCTCATACTTTTTCTTTCTCATTTTCTAGGTGAGTCTACCCTAAGTTTAGGTTGGGGCAATGTTTTTAATTTTTTTACCAAATAGAAGGGAAATGTTAGTATAATAACCAATGTTTTGGGCTTGTCAACATTTTATAATAAAACCAATATATACACAAATGTTGATATTGAAACTTTCAGAATTGTGGTCAATAGGTCGCCTACAGGGTAAATTCAGGAGTACGGCACTTTTAGTAAATGTTCAGCTCTTCTGTGTTTCTTATAGGCTTTTACACAATGGGTTTATAATAAAGCAATAACCATCTTTCAATCTATGAAAGTGAAGCATAAGTTTATGATATAACAGGCATGATATTTAGAGTGAAACATTCTTAGTTTCCTTTGCTGTGACTGACACTGTACTTGACATTATCTGCACTATGCGAAGGCTTTTAGCTCCACCCACCCTACTCTCCAGTCACTATACCCTTAGATGTACCTGCAAATAGAGTTTGAGCCATGTCTGCTAAAAGGATTATCTCTGATTATATATATTCCTGTGCTGATTTGAGGTACATTCGTTATCCGCAAGGAACCAGTTGAATGCTGGCACCCTGTTGCTCCAGATTCTAGGGGCACGATGGACATCCGATCAGTGGCGAATAGGATCTGGACCACCTGCTGAGAGCTGGCATCAGCCAATTTACCTCTTCTCCACTTTCCCCCCGTTATTTACAGGCTGTTTGTTTTTTTTCTTACAGTTGAACATGCCCTTGTTTATACAGTCCAGGAAAGCCTTGCTCTTCTGCAGCAACATCCTGCTTCAGTTTCTTTCAGATGCGAGTCCTGACAGTGAGCAAAAAATTCAAGCCTTTTATTGTTATTTGTGCATAGCTACAGTGTAGTTATGACAATGGAAATCTTAGGTCACACAGGCTCCTCAAACAGCGCAACACAATAAAACAGATAAAATAGTGCAACTAAATAAAATAAAATATAGTAGAAATAGTGCAGAATATTCTATAGTAATTGGAATATTGATATAAGTTGCAAACAGATGTTCTTTCAAAAGTTCAGGTGTTTAACAGTCTAACGGCTTGTGGGATAAAACTGTCCCTTAGTCTGTTGGTTTTAGACCCGATGCTGCATTAGTAAAATAGTCTACTATTAAATAGAGAGCACTTTGAAGGATTCTAGATATGGGAATGGACATTTGGGAATCACCTATGGCCCCTTATTAGCTATTTTGCAGGAAAAATTATTGGATTCTGCTGTTTTTAGGACACAAACAAGCATTTGTACCCTTTCAAGCACAAACCGCCCCACTTCTGTAATTTCTAATCCTCTAGGTCACATATGTATCGTTGAGCCTCCAGATCACTGCTCCCTAGATAAACCCTAAGTCTGCATCTATCTTCTTAGACTGTCTGATTAGCACAACGTCATAGCATGGGGTAGTAATCCCAGTCTGGGCCCAGGAATAGAGCGCTGGGAGGGGCCAGGCCACTGGAGAGACGGTAGAGCCAACGTGCATGTGTCACCTGGGTAATCCCTAGTTAAATAACCCCCCCCCATGGCAGGAAAAAGAGGGAGGGAGCTGAGGGCAGGGGACGTGACACCGTGGGAGCAGCTCCAGTCAGTGTCCTCCTATCCCTAGGACACAGCACAGCAGCCGAAGGAGGAGAGGGATTCAAAGACTTGTTGGACTGTAGGAAGACAGTGCTTCGATCAGGATGAACTTTGCCGCCCAGTTTTTCTATTCGAGCTACTTGAGTGAACGACTTGAGCGTTTGTACTCACCCAGGCCTGCACTTAAAGACGGAGATGAGAAGGACCCCTTCTGGCAGAGGTGGGATATTACAACATGTAGCCCTTTGGATCCTCAAGACCCCTCCCCTAACCAGCTTAGTCCAGTAGGAACATATTTACCCTCTGTGCTTAGTTTGGAAAAAGCTTCTACCTTCATCGATTCAGCTCTTCCTTTAGTTACTTCCTTCCCTCCTCCTTATCCACTTTTTTTGAAGCATTCCCTGACAAACACACCCTCAAATCTCCAATCTATTCCTCTGCCACCTCCTCCTCAACTCAATCACAAAATGAAATCAACAACACCATCCATTTGTTCGGCTGCTGAGATCGCCCAATCGAGGCTTTATGAAATCCCTTCCAACGTTCTTTCTCCTCAGATAACTCTCCCAAAACCTTCTCCAGCTCCATCCAGGTCCCCAGCCGAAAAGGCTTCTATCGGTGTGTCCCGTTCTTCCTCCTCTTCCTCAGTTCCTACCCCTTCGAGAGGAGAGCTCCTCCCAACCTTCCAAGCCCTGGTAGACTTGCTCCTTCGCTTGGTCATCTACCTTGTTTTCATCTGCGTCCCCAGGTTACTCTCGATACGAGAAAGACAGAGAGAAATCAAAAGCAAACAATCAAAGAGGTGGGCTGTTCAAGAATCATTATAGTGCAGTACTCTGCCACTGCTTTGGGCAATATATTCTGTCAATTACATCACATCTAGGGTCACAAGAAGGGTTCCAGTGGTTCTTAGCAAAAACGGAACAACCATGATTGTCAGGGAACCATTGGGTCGATTTTAAATGGACATGTCCAGACAAAGTAAGAAAAACAACTTTCAAGAACTTTGGTACGAGTATATCTAAACCATCTGGTGCTACTTGTGGTACTTTGACTTAAACAAACTGTACAAAGCATGCAATTTGGATGTCATACCCATGCCTGAATGACAGAAAGATGAAAAATGGCACTTACAACAATGCATCATCAACAATTGGGGTAATATAGTGCTTGGAGGACTTTTCTCCTCTCAATGGATCATTGTTCCATTATAGGACAAAAGGAAGCAAAATAGCAGCCATTTTGGGCTTTTCGTTTTTAAATGGACATTATAAGCTAAGATAACCGATGACCAAAGTCTGGTGGGCTGAAATATCTTTGGCCTTGTAATAATTTGTGTTGCCAATTTGAATTAAAATAACCTTCTTTACCATTTGAGGGATGCTTTTTGAGGCTTCATCCTGGTGGCCATTTTGCTCTTTTCCCCCTTTTGATGTTGTTTTTGAACTCTGCCTTTGATCAGAAGCACCCTCCTTAGAGGTGCAGCCTCTGACTGTTCAAGTCATAAGTGCACACTGAGTGTCTTAATAAGGAACTGGAATTAACTGACAAGTAGAGCAGAGGGCAGCAATGGACCCTGTGGACGCGGTGAAAGGTAACACTCTTGTTTATGCCCACCATTGTGACATAAATAGACTGGTGTGTTCTCTGAGGAGTGCAGATTTAGACGTTTGTTAGGGAGAACTGCTCTATCTGGTGGGAGATTGGTATTCAAACACACTAATACCTAAAGCTAAAGCACTTTCATGACTGGATTCTTTTTTTGTTATTTTGAGTTACTCAGCTCTATCTGGACTGATACAGCAAACCCTGCCCATCTGAAGACATAAACACATATGTTCATACCGTAGAAGGCAAGGCAAGGCAAGGCAAGGCAAGGCAAGGCGAGGCAAGGCGAGACAAGGCGAGACAAGGCGAGGCAAGGCGAGGCAAGACGAGACAAGGCGAGACAAGGCGAGGCAAGGCGAGGCAAGGCGAGGCAAGGCGAGACAAGGCGAGGCAAGGCGAGGCAAGGCGAGGCAAGGCGAGGCAAGGCAAGGCAAGGCAAGGCAATTTATTTGTATAGCACAATTCATACAGTAATGCAATTCAAAGTGCTTTACAGGATCAAACAGAGCAAACACGATACATTGAGAAGAAATACAAAACACACAAAATAATTAATTAAAAGAAAGAAAACCATGTTTAACAGTTCGAAAATTAGAACATTTAAATTTGAAAAGCCATATTAAAAAGAAATGTTTTTAGACCTGATTTAAATTATTCTAAAGTGCTAGCCATTCTCAGATGTTCTGGGAGACGACTTGGATCCATGGACTAAGCTTATTCAAATGTAGCTATTAACTATTTGTGATCTGCTTATGTGGCTAGGTGACAAGGTTAATCTCCAAAGGGTGTAATCCTATTATTATGTTTATATTGTGTAAAGTGCCTCAGTAACTAGATGGTCAACAATTGATTGTGAGGTTTAATGTAATTTGAGAAATTAACAGTAAACAAGAACTCAGATATTTTTACTTGACTAAAATATGCTATAAATAAAGTTACAATTAAAAGTATTGCATTCAAATTGAAGAGGTAGGGCTCATTTTTAACCTACTATATTGCTTGGTAACCTATTATAACTTATTTGCAAATGTAGATCTTTAAAACGTAAATCTAAATGAATGTACTAACTAGTAACTAAAGCTTTAAATTGAATGAAACTTGGAAATGTAGTAAAGTAGAAGTATAAAATAGACAGTAAGTTGTAAATACTCAAGTAGTATACACACACCTCAACATTTTAAGTACATTTCTGAGAAAGAATGAACTATTTAAGTGAGTTATACTGTTTGGTTATATTCAATGGCCATGTACTGAGCTGTTATAAATGTAGAAAAAGTCTTCCAGGGCGGTGCATTTGTGTGTTTTGGGGAAGTTCAAACTTTATGATCTGAGGTCTGGATGCTGAACACCAACCCTTGTAATTCAAGGAGCTATGAAAAGCAAATGATTATTTTGTTTGGGAATTGTTTTTCCTCTGGGTTGGAGTCCTGACAACTAGTTCAGTGACAGATGCATCTGGATTCTCAGCTTTTGATCCACAAATTAACCAGAGTTGCTCACTGGTCTCTGTCTGATTAAATTCATCTGTATGTTCATCGTAATGAAGTTCAAGCAAGTTTCAAGGTTTTGAGGATATAATTAGGACAAGGAATTAAGGTACTTCCTACCTCGTCTAATCTGTGTATCATCATTTTGTTGAAGTACATGTCAGTTTTCTCAAACGCATGATATCCCAATCTAAAATGAATTACAATATGTCTACCTGGTGTTTCCTTCTCAGAGATGAGTTGTGTCTGGGCCCCAGTCAGCCTGGAGGCTCTGACAAATGTGGCCACGTCACTAACGGTAATGCAGTCCGTGGATCCACCCTCATTGAACCGGAGCGTCTGAAGGACTTTGGTGAGGAGGAGCTGGTCAATGGGGACGTGAAGGTCTATAGCACCAAGGTGGTGGGGGGTCCTGCTGAGATCGTGCTCAAGGACCCCCCTAAAACCAGACGTATGAGCGAGTTCAGGCACAATCCCAGACCTCTTGTCCCGTTTCTCCGCTTCGAGGACATCAGCGCCGCAGCCTTCAGGATCCAGGCTGGGATCCAGAAGACCCCCTGCACAGTAAGCTATAAAAGGACTATAGTGATGTGGTGGGGAAAGAAAAGGTTAACAAAAATGATATAGAGTGCTTCAGAACCCTCACTACAAAATATAAACACACATCTTTGGAACTATACATTTTTATATTGCATTTATACTTAATACTGTAAAATCTTTTACAATTTTGCACATTTCTGCTCCAAATTACCATTGTAAAAACTACAGAAGTCTTGTCATGTTAATTAAAAAGTATTTTAGATATTTTTAGAACTTTTCATAACTTTATAGCATTTTTCCTCTATTCTTTTGTATGTTTTAGGATTTTTGTAATTCTATTTGTTATGTTATTTCAAATTGCTAACCCTAACCCTAACCCTTACTGACCAATACACCAAAGCAGATTCCCTGTCCGTGAACACCTACAATTGGCAATACACCATCTTCTGAATAAATATAGACAACATTTGATGAACAAACAGACATTACTGGAATGATAGTTGCACCAACAGGGATTAAAGAATGAATAAGTAGATAATAATATCTGAATACATTGTCATAGACTAAAGAAATGTTGTTCCAGAAGATGAGCTAAAGTTATAGCTTTTGACCTATACAGTACAGTTCAGTTAACTCAGTTCAGTTAATTAAACATAGAGCTTCTCTTAAAATGCTTCTTCTTTGTGTGTTTGTGCAGTACTCCAGACTCTCCAAGCAGTACGGGATGGAGATCTACCTGAAGAAGGAGCACCTGCACTACACAGGCTCTGTGAAGGAGAGAGGAGTCCGGCACATGCTGAGCTCCCTCACACAGGTCAGAGACAGAGATAGATGATCCCTTCCTGTCCGTCAGGTCACAGCTAGTGATCTACTTTTTGTGTGCTCCTGCAGACACTGACCAATACTGACTTGCAGTTACAAAAATAGTCTGAGTGCAGCTTTAATTGACAGTGGCCTGGAAATGTTTCCCTTAGCTTATCTTTGAGAGAACTTAAATAATGTTCAACTAACCTTACAAATGGCCTATCAGCAGAGTTGTGTTAATACGTTTCTTATATATTCTTAGGTTTAAGCCAACTGTTGAGCACACTGATGGAATAAATGACTTCAGACGCCTTTATCCTCGCCAGTAAAGCCATGCAAAGATCTGCTTTGTGTCAGGAAGCATCAGGGATTATGGGAACTGTGGTTTACATTTTGAGAAACACTGGCTTTACATAGAAGGCCTAATTTGGTTGAGGCCAGAAATTAACCTAGAATATCTTTTGTGGTGATGTAACTTGGTGCAATGTTAAACCTTTTAAAGGACTAGTTTGCTATTTTGAGATATATGCCAATTTGCTTTCTAGTGGAGGGTTAATGAGAACATCTTCATTAGCTTAGCATAAAGATAACAAAGGGAAACAGCTAGCCTTGTTCTGTACAAATGTAACAATATCCACCAGTATGTGTTAAGCTCACTTATTAACATTGTATCTTGTTTTTTTAATCCATCCTTGAGTGTAAAATAAACCAATTTGCTAAGAAGTAGTCCTGCACAGAACCACTTGCAAGACAGCAGACCATTATTATGCTGGAAGTGCAAATGTTAGTTCACACTGTGGAGGATTCTTCATTGACTTCCACTAAATCGGTTGACGTTGGCTGTGTGTACATACAGTATATATGCAGGGTTGGGAGGGTTACTTTGTAAATGTAATCAGTTACTGATTACTGAATACATGGCTCTGAAAGTAATCCGAATACAGTTACAGTTACGTGTCTTAAAAAAGTAACGTAATCAGATTACTTTTAGATTACTTTTGGATTACTTTCTTTTTCCATCACAGATGGATGTTTTGGTGTACAGGAGACACAAAAAGCAAAAGGACACTGAATGTGTTTTTACTGTTTTAATGGCTTATCAAGAGTGAACTGAAACATAACATCTGAAACGATGTAACAACATAATTAACTTTTTGGGGATGCAGCTTGGGATGTGAGGAGTGAGGGACACGGCTTAGAACGAGCGTGTCGCCTTCTGTCCTGCCAGTGTTGGCAGGACATGAATTAAAATGTCAAACTCGGACTTCATTTTAAGGATATTACGGCCAGGGGTGTAGAGCTATATTTGTTTAAGCACCGGATTGGCAAAACAGGAGAGTGTGTGCACCAGTCTGCCTTGATCTATGCATTCATGTCCGTGACACTCACAGTATCTGCTGCCCACAGCTGTTTTATAGAAGGAACACCTCCTTCACTTCATGAAATCTCTGCAGCGCCAGGAGGCAGCCTCTGAGAAGAGGAACGCGCAGTGCCTTTCACGCACCGCCTTCACTGTGTTTACCTTCAGAAATAATCATTAGTAAGGCTAAAGAAAGAGCGACCGCAGGCTGATGTGTTTTAACCACACACACGCGATTTAAACGCATACTTTTGTTCCTCCATGTTTCGTTGTTATTGTTTCACTGAGCGGACCCGCGATTTTTTTTCAAACGCTTTTTTGGTCCATCTGCGGCGGTAATAGGTTTTGTGGGCTTTGATGATTCGGCTGTACCTTTAGTAATGAATATTAAATGTTGTGAGGAAATCTTTCCACCAATAATTCCAATAAGTAATCCAAAATGTATTCACTTCAGGTTTACGAAAGTAACTGTAATCAGATTACTCGTTTTTCAAATGTAACGCGAGCTGAATACAGTTACTTGATTTTTGTATTCTGATTACGTAACGCCGTTACATGTATTCCGTTACAACCCAACCCTGTATATATGACATATGAATACATATCAACGTGTTTTTGTCCCCCCAGGCTCAGCAGAGGAAGGGCGTGATCGTTGCCACTGACTGTAACTTCTCCATGGCCGTGGCCCACCATGCAGTAGAGCTGAACATCCCGGTGTTTGTCATCATGCCGTCATGCTGCTCCTCGCCTCGCCTCCGGATCTACAGAGACTACGGAGCCATGGTCATTTCCTACGGCAGCAGCGGCCACGACTCCCAGAACCACGCCCGCCATCTGGCCTCAGAGAATGGATACCTCTACCTGGAAGAGTCAGTGTTAACATTCTCAACTAATACTTTTTATACCCAGTAGTTGTGGTCTTTAATTTACCAGGCACACATTTTGGGAAAGCACTGATGTAACTAATAACGTTAAGGTGGAACTCCGTTCCCAAATTCTCCACGCACTAGATACTTTCACAGTATTCATACACGTTCCCTATAGTCAAACAATACTTTCTACAATATGGGACCTTTAAGGGGAAAAACAACAGCAACACTTGCAATATTAAAGACAAACTTACAACCGAAAGTTCTTTGCGTGTTTTCCTATTGGCCAAACGCTGCTACTACACTTTCGGGTCAGTCCGTGAAGTGATAAAATAATGACTTCTACTGACTTTCATTGTGAAAATATATGTTTAAGGTAAATCAGCTTGCCAGGACGAACACTTATTTAAATCATTAGGGCCAGTTCTCTTTATATATCTGTGTGACAAACTCTTTTTGACAGTTTTTTGACTGTAGAAGTTGCCTTCAGATTTCTGACAGTTTTGTATGCCACAAGAACGTTATGTAAACTAACGTTCTGTACGTCATACAATATAGTCAGTAAAAAAAAGTATTTTGGCGTGGAGTTAGAAAAAAGTGAGTTTACCAGACCTCTGTAATCTATATTAGACAGTACTTGCAAAAAACTGCAACTGATGGTTTAGTTGCCTCATGGGTAATGTAGGCTTATGGAGGTCGGCTTGGCGTGGTTTTACAAAGGACATCTACAATATGAGGTCTGCGGATCATCAGGACACACACCTTCACCTGTTACACTTTTTTTTCTGACTCTGCCTTCTGATTTACAGAGAGGAAAATGAAGCATACCTGGCAGGACTGGGCACTGTTGGCATGGAGATCTACGAGCAAGTGTCTAAACTGGACGCAGTGGTTATTCCGGCAGCTGGACAGTACGGGCTACTGGCTGCTACAGCTGCAGCCATCAAACACCTCAACTCCAGAATTCTTGTCATAGTAAGTACACGCTCAAATTAGGTTGTTTAATGATCTGCATAATTGTCTACCTACTGTAATGTTTAAGTATATAATATAATTAACCCTCCTGTTGTCTTCGGGTGAAATCTGACCGATTTACTACTTTCATCAATCATAACTTTTTTGTTTTACATTCGATTGCATTAAGGCTTTATGATATCCTTCACTGTAGACATTTGAACATATACAATTGCTGACCACCACTTTCATTGCATTTTGGATGAGTTAGTCAACTTTGGTGTTCCCGGTCAAAAATGACCGCCATAAAGAAAAGGAATTAGTAACCATCCGGATCAGATAAAACACGCACGCACGCACGCACGCATGCACGCACACACACACACACACACACACACACACACACACACACACACACACACACACACACACACACACACACACACACACACACACACACACACGCACACACACACACACAAACACATACTCTAGATGTGTTCCCCCCCTTATGTGCCCAATCCCCCCATGTGAATCACACCGGACACACAAACACACACACAGAACCATTTGACACATTTCCCGCTCTTATGTGCCCATCCCCCCCACATGGATCACACCTGGCACACGCAATACATATTCAGTGTCTATTCTTTGTATATTTACTGCAGTTGTTCATGTATACCAGTAGTCTGATACAATATTTACAGTTTGAAAGGGTGTTAAATGAAATTTGGCGATGATTAATGGTTTTTGTGTTAATGTAATAGCAGTTAAAACAGGACCGGTCAAATGTGACCACGAACACCAAAGTAAGGGGGGGGGGGAACGAAGACAATAGGAGGGTTAAGTATAGGGCTTGATCTGTAGCCCAATCTAACACCAGCACATTTCCCATAATTCTTTCTTCTGATTACAAATAAGTAGGCTACAACTCCCTGGTGTTAATCCAAGTGTGTGTTGCCGATGTTGAAAGGTATCGGGTTATAGTATTCAATTTCCAAACTCCAATGTGTTTGGTTTACGTCTTGTTTACACATGTGGTAATATGGTGAAAATACATTGGCTTTCTCCAACAGGGAATTGAACCAGAAGGCTTCCCTCTGCTGCAACAATCTCTGAAAAATAACGGCCCAATCAAAAACATGAACAGCAACCCCAATAAGAAACTCTATGGAGGTAAACTCAGTTAAACATTTAATAGTCAGGTCTTGTTCAAGGCTATTAAAGAACTGTGACATGCATGTTCAACAAACTTCATAATTATCTGCACATTTTTCTGAGAGAAGCTTATGGCTTTTTTATTTCTCTATTGCAGATTTAATGGAGCATTCCCTGGGTGATAACACCTTCCAGCTGGCAAAGAAACTAGTGGATAAAGTCGTCTCTGTCAGGTACTGCACATTTACACTTTCACGCTTCATCTGAAAACATTTTCAATGAGATATTGGATGCCCAGCGTGTGAAAACTAATTTAATATTCTGAATATAGTTCACTGTAAAACCCCATTTGAAATGATTACTGCTCTGAAATGTAGAATTCCAGGTATTTTGATGCAGATATTGAATATTTTAGAAAATACTCACTGTTATAATCTTTTTATATCAAACCCTAATTTGAAAACGTATAGACCGGGAATTCTAACCGTGTTTTCCAATTGAGGACTTTCTTATGGCTGCTGTAACTTATTTGTCTTTCTTTGCCTCTGCCTCAGTGAGGAGGACTCTCTGGTGGCGATGCTGCGGTTTCAGGAGTTTGAACGCTCCACTGTGGACACAGAGGGAGCCATGGGACTGGCAGCCATCTTGGCTGGAAAACTACCAGAGCTGAAAGGCAAAAGGTGTGTCAAACTTGTTAATATTATTGAACCTTACAATGCCCAATTGGCAAATTATCTTAACAAAGTGTACAACAGCAGTTATTTTAATGTTATACAGTAGCAGAAACACTCTTCAACTAAGAAAAAGTGATTCTTTTAACGTTTGGCTGCAGATAAAACAAGACTTGTGTGTGTGTATGTATGTTTATTTATGTGTGTGTGTGTCCTCTGTAGGGTTGCTGTAGTGGTGACCAGTGCTAACATGGAGCTGGAGCTGATGAGGCAGTGTGTGGACCGGGCCCTGGTGCTGGATGATCGGGTCAGTAAGTTCTCTGTGCAGCTGGGGGAATATCCAGGAGACATGGCTAAGCTGCTGGACGTCCTGTCCAGAGAGGAAGTCAGGTAGGGGCAACCCCTGTACATTTGAAAGATCTGTTGATCAATCTCTCGCTTCACGCTGAGGTCTAGTTTATGTATAATATCTCTTGATGCCACCTTTTATTCCTTAATGTCTTCGTCTATTTCCTCTAAGGTTGTTGGATGTCTGCCAACGGAGACAAAGTGACAAGTCAGACCTCTTCAAGGCAAAGGTATGCGACATATCTCTCCTCTACACATCAGAATTTGTTGTCCTCGTCTTCAATTTGCACATTTTCTTTTCTTGCATTGCCATGAAACTCATGGCTTTGAGTTAATGGGACAGATTAGTGTAACTAAAAAATACAATTTAAGAGAAATATAGAGGTATCAGTGCTCTTTTTTCTAGTTTGTTTGTCCCTTAAGAACATATGCTTACACTGCAAGGCACAGCCAATAAAAAAACTAAATGTCACTTTTTTTGTCAGGAATAAAGTGTATTGTAACTTGCGATATGAACAATTTATGAACTAACACCTACACAAAAAGCTTCAGAATATAGATAGGGATGAAACTGCAAAATATGGTGTATGTAAGTGCTACTGAAGTGGAGATTTCTGGCTCAATATGAGGAAAAAATGACTTGAATACATTTTTCAACAGGTGAATAGGGTAAAATATAGAACCAGTACACATTACCATGGACCTTCCCTAAATTGATTGCTCACATTAAGATTATGTATGTTTTAAAGGTTTTCAAGTTATGTTTAAATATGCAAATGAATAATGATCAAATCTAAAGATGCAGAGAGACAAAAATAGTCAAATAAAAACCAACATTTTTATTTGGAGTGTTTACTATCAACAATGTCAGAAAACATATTCTGAAATCAAAGTAGCACAAAATCAATTTACAAGTGCATTAAAAAACTGTGTTGTTTGAAATAAGACCTCATTCTTACCATCCAAAGAAACAGGACCTTTATCAAAATCTGAATAATGTCATATTGTGAAAAACAGAGGAACATGAGTAAGCATGCACCTAGTCTCCTGGTTCTTTATTAAAGCCTCTGCAGTTTACACTAAGAAATTGGCACCATACTGTTTTTCTTCACCTTTGGTCAACAGCCGCGTCAAAAGGTGAAGGTGTTGCATAATTCACTCACTGACCTAATTCTAGGGTGTGTGATGTTAGAGGGCTAACTGTATGTGGATGTGTTGGCAGGTGGAGTGTGTGGTGGAAACCAGGGATAAAACACAAAGCATTCAGCTACGCAAGGTCCTGAGTGAGCGCTACCCCTCTATATGCTGGCTGGATCGGTGATCACAACATGAACACAAAGACTAGAACACTGGAAAATAACATTACATGACACATGAATATAATGTGAGCTGCCGTGCAAACACACCCTGCTATATACACTACTACAATATATGAACTCTGTTATAGGAATACCATTAAGACAGTGGCTGTTAAGCAAACCTAAGTGTATAAAGAAAAGCCTTGAGATTGTGTAGAGAATACTATTCATGTAACTTCTATTACTTATGCTGCTATCGTTCTTTAATTATGCCCCTGTGTAATTATGGTAAAGTGCATAGGCTGTATTCAGAAGATGAATGTATAGTTCACAGAGCATTATTCAAGCACTGGATATTTACTCCTTTAGTGCCCTCTAAGTAAAGTAAGTACACACTATGCAACTTCCTAAACCATCTGCATCAAATGTGTATTTTATTTTCAATCCATATTGTATTTTTGTATATATTTCTGTATTTATTCTGCCTACGATGGTAGAGTAAAATTGTAAAAAGTGTTCTCGAAATAAACATTGACTGTCTTTGACTTGTTTTTGTGGTTTTCTGATGTTGTGAAAAAAAGATATAATTTAAAAATATTAAGCCTTCTCTTGATGGCTGGTGTAAACTCTCAAGAAAAAAAATGAAGCGTGATGGGAAAGTGAAATGTTTCTTTACTGCCAACTCCTGATAATAGCAGAGGATTGCTGCAGTGGAGGCTGGGCTATTTAAGACGGGCTAATGCTCTTATGTTCATAAGCAGAGGACATTGTGCAACTGCTTCGTGCAACGTCACACTTGTAGACCTGCAGAATATCTGTTTGTTGGTTGCTTGAAACACAACTTCAAATTAAAGTTTATGTTGCCTAATTTTTTCATATCTCAATATATCAAATTAAAAGTATGCTTTTGTTGAATTGTGTACTTACATTATCCCAAATGTCTCCAACACTTACGGGCATCCTTTATTTCAGTCAAGTTTATTGGTCTGTTTCATTTACAGTGGTTGTCTGCCAGAAGCTTTTATGAATGTAACTTTTATCGGTTTGTAATCTTTGTTCTAATGACCATTGGTTTTAGATTGGTGATTTAAAATGATATTTCAGCCAAATTCAGGAATTTAGTCTTCTGTTAAACACTCCATCCTTTGGTGTTTTCTCCCCCTCTTCTTTGCCCCCTTAGCCTGCTTCTGATTGGCCCTCGGCTCCATCTTTGCGCAGGTGTTTCAGACCTGCTCCTGTATTGTTTTCCTGCCAGACACTCTTTGGTGTCTCAAATACATGTTGCTGGTCACAAACTAAGCCACAAAGGTTATGTGATGCCAGGTGGCTGTAACACATTCAGGCCCGGTTCCACAACAAAATGACTCAGGGTGCATCTGAGATTAGAGAGGGTGCAGTGGTAAAGTGCTATTTTTATAAGTGGGGAGTGGATCTAACACCCTCTAGGGGGGTCCTCACCTCCTCTAGGGGGGTCCGGGGGCATGCCCCCCCCCGGAAGATTTTTTTTTTTAAATATTGAAGTTCAAAGCATCAATCTGGTGCACTTTGAGAGCAAAATGAAGAGATCTATGGATCTGTGCTCTTTGCATGATTCATGCCTTCCCAGTCCCTTATCACGTACAACAGCATGACACCAGTTGTTGTAGCCAGTTGTGGTGAAGGCATCTGACGTAGAACCGAAATGTCTACATGCATAGCAGAAGATGGCATCTTTTTTACAGTCAATCTCTGTTTTGAAACCATGAGCTGCAAAATGAGCGCCTTACCCCACTGTACAGGCGAGTTGGGTACTTTTTTAAATATACCTGGGCAGGCTCTGTTTTGCTGAGGTCCTCTGGCACTTGCCGGCCGCTGAGGGGTGGCGGTGTTTGGGGCAACGAAGACGGCTGCTCCGCCTCCGTGGGCGAGGCGGGAAAAGGCGGCGAGTCGGGCGGGAGGACGTTAGTGTCCACGACAGTGGCCGCGGGTAACGTAATGTCCCCATGATCTGAACTGTTATTACCTGCAGTAGATGCAGTGTTACTGCTGGCGATAAGGGCTGGTTGTTTTAACCATTTTCTGATGTCCATCACCGACTGCTGTGTAAGCACCTTGCAGATGACAAACGCGCAGCGGCACAGGTCACGCGCACCTGACATAATAACGTTACTTACCGTTTAAATTGACCAAATAAATGCAGCAGACAATGTTATTTAACCACAATTACAATTTATTTCAACTATATTCTTCTTCTTATTATTATTATTACTACTATTATTATTATTGTTATTATATATGTAATATTTTTGACTTTTCTTTTTTTTTTCACCCTTATGCACCCCCGTAAAACCGGGCCTGGGACATCTCGCAGCGTCAGTTAGCTTGCAGCCTCACCAACCTATGTCTGCATTGAAAAAACTAATATTTTTTCAACATGACATTGCTTTATTCTATACATTTGTTTGGTTTTTTAGTATTTGAATTAATTTTGATTTGACCTCTATGGATGATTCAGATTCCTGTAAAAGTTCCTGAACATTGAACAATGAAGACATCCTGACTGGGAGAAGCTGACTGCAATGACAGAAATGTTGGTCAAGAACATAGCTCCTTAGAAAAACTCAAACTGTCTTATCTTTGTTTTTGGATTTAAAGACCTCTAGTGTCAGAGAACTACATAATGTGCTTTCTACATTTCCTGAGGAAGAGCTGGGCAATAGAGGATCCTGGATAAATAGGGATAAGGACATACAGTATAGGAAATGTAGCAACACGCTAACAGCTAGCTTGTTCCTGCTGGTCCAACAACCAACAAATTATTATTAAGGTAGGCAGTGGCACACAACCTTATTATTACATGCATACTTTAAAATGTTCTCTTAACATTATACTTAAAGCCACCATCAGTTCAAAGTTTTAGTTTTTTTAAAACAACATACCCCATTAGCCTCAGCTATACTCTTTGTGAATTGGAAATTAGCAAATGTTAGCATGCCAACACGTAGGATAAAACAATAAATCTTACTCATTATTTCCCCCTAATCTCGGGTCCTTCTGTGCCTTACTATGGCTTCACAGGTCCACTGTAAAATCTTAATTTTCTATCAACTGGTTTAGAGGGAATTCTTAATACATTCTTAATAATTCAGCGAAACACATTTCCTGCAGTTTGTAATTAACTCTTTATTTTTCAATGTTAACATTAAGAAATTACAGTCTTCGGTTTAAAAAGTTGAACACAAAGCACTTCGGTATATTAAAAGGCAAATTCAAACAGCAACTCTCTTTATTTTGGTCCTGGAGAAGAGGAAGATGGCAGTGTACCATCTGCAGCTCCATCTTCATTACAGCAGCTGAGAACATATCCCAAGTACCATTGAATAGTGAGAGCACAACATAATATCATTAGAGATAACCCTTGTATTGCACTAACATTTTCAGTCCGGAATCATCAAGAGAACTCTGATGCTATATAATATAAAAACAATGTTAATATTATTATCCAGAAAAAACTTCCCTGGTTTATTAATAGAAAATCCATGGAATTAAATTGCGTCCATCATATGAACACATTAAGTTATATGAACTAAGACGGAAAATTGTAGTGTTTCTATAAAGCTACGTCTTGACTTCAATACTTTTAAGAAAAAAGAGATAGGGAAAGGCTGATGTGTCTTCCACTTGCCCCTCAGCAGGATTTCATATCAGAGAGAAATACAGAGGAGGAAGAAGAGGAGGCACACATTGATTTTCTTCTTTCAGCTTATGTTGTTCTTCTGGCTTCATCTTGCCGGATTCAGTGCTGTTTGGGGCGCTCTGGGTCGTATTTGACCAGCAGGCCGAGGGAGGCGAAGCCAAACAGGAAGGTCTGGATGAACCACAGGCAGCGAGAGGTCAGGTTGGTGATGCCTTTCTCACTGCAGGGGAAAAGAGAATATAGAATGAACGACAAAGTTAAGTTAGAAGCAGCTGTATAAAACCCCAATCCTTATAGAATTTGAAAGGGAGGGGTAATCCGGTAGTATTAAGTTGGTACATTTGAGTTAAAACCCTAAACACTGGTCCTTTTTTAAATATACTTTAAACCAGTGGCAAACCGTCAGGACCTTCAAGGTATTCAGAGAATACCCTGGAACACTCAGATAAAACAAACAAAAAAATCGATTTAATTATATGAATAAAATGTAATAAAATGTATATAAAAGGAATAAATGAGAATCGTATCTGTGTTGTTGACCTGTAATATTACAGTGCTACGTTAATTTGTTTGTCCTTCTCGGACCATGCTCTACGCATTTCAATGGTTTTGTGTTAGAAAAGAAAGCAACCAATCAGATCTTGTTCTGGGTCTCTGGGTAGAATATCCTTCAACCAAGGTATTCTACATCCTTGATAGAATGCCCTGGCCGTTGCACTGAATGAGAGCGTACATTTGGACTGACAGTTTGATTAACCAATCATATATTGATGTGTAGCCAATCTGGGCGTATTCTTTCAGAGTTTCCCTCAGTTCCAGGGTATTCTAGAAGGCCCGCTAGTTAACTGGCTCGAGACAGAGGATCTAGATGAATGTGACGAAGCAATTCATGCCGTTTTATTGTTTTTAACGTTGAAATGGTAAGTGCAACAGGTGAAGATGAAGTTGTTGCAGAATTGTTGTGAGTACCCTTTTCAAGACGACAATTCAGTGAAAAGACGGACATTATAACGCCGGGGCGGGGGGGCGGCGGCGGGTGTGTGTGTCTACAGAAGCTCCAGTTGTGATAGACACGGTTCGCCACTGCTTTAAACTACATTTAGATTCAGGGTAGGAATTACCTTCAAAAAGTTCCCACCTCTGCTGCCACCTTTGGAATAACCAATAAAAGCATTAAAAAACACTAATCAACTAAAGAAATCTTATTCGATAGGACCCAAAAGAACAATTAATGAACTAGCTTCTGGGGCAGCCAGAGATGTCAGGACTTGTCCCATCATCTGATGTTTGTTTAACAAGTGGATTCATTGAGTGTTTATTCTTAAATTATTTATCTGGATGGTGTTTTAAGAATACAAAATATATGTATAGAAATTATAAGAGATCATGAATTAGATGTTATAAAAATGTTGTTTTAAAATGTTCTAAGCATCCATATCTGTACACAACGATATCTGACGGACTACTGGCCATGTATGGTTTTATAAAAAGAACCCAGGTAGAAAAAAAAGCGAAAACAGATGGTAATAAGTCAACACACATATCAGATAGTTATTTTGACCTATAAATCATGGAATGATATATAAAGTTAATGGAGACCTTTATGAAGCTTGGTACAATTATTATGATCCCCATATACTTCACAGTTTTGTAACAAATAGAAAGTCTTTCCTAATTTAATTTGTGTCAAATAAAAGGCCTCAGAAAAAAGAGGAAAAACGAGGGCTTCCAAATACTTTTCTGGAAAGCTTCAGTCATTTTTAACTCCACGTTCTAACACAATATAGGATCAAAATTGGACACAAATAAGTGCTTATTTATTTTTTACAGAAATGTCACTAAAGAATAATATCCC